AGATAAAGAATGATCATAGATTTTTTTGTAAAAAAAAAAAGAAAAAAAAAGAAGATAAATAATGACTTATTTAATGTGTTGGATTTTTTTATTAGCCGAGAAATATCACGTAAATAATATCACATAATACTCTCAAGTATCTAATTGCCTAAGCCTTCGTTTGGGATGTGAGTTGACTTTTTGATTTTTTTAGCTTGGGGCTAAAAAGTTTCGTTTGTGATAGGTTTTTTAATTTTTTTGACTTTTGTAAAAGAAAAAATAAAATGATTATGATTTAAATGTAACATTTTATCTTATTAAACTAAAAAAATTTATTTTGCCTTTTTATAACTAAAATAGTCCAAACCTAACCCAACCCAAACCTTCATGCCAAACACAACCTAAAACATTCAGTTTGGATTGGAGATCTATTGAAGAAAAGAATCCAAGAACAATCTCATGTTAACCAAAATAAGTATAGCCTACTTCAAATTCCCGTATAACTTTTGAATTTAAAAATAAAAATAAAATTAGTATATAATTTTTCCATGTGATGAATGGCAATGTGGGGCTGAAAATGGTAGGAAGGAATGACATTAAATTGGGGGTGGTACAAATTAAGCAGGTTAGCATCATATACACTTTGCATCATATACACTGACAACGTTTATCTCGAGTTTACATTTTTTTAAGAAAGACTAATAATTGTAAATTACCACCATATAAATGTTCGTTATGTAAATCATCAACATCGTGAAATGTGGAGTGGTGGATTAGGCCGCTTCATTTGGTTTACATTGAAACTTAACCACTAATCATTTGAAGTTTCAATGATTTTTTAAGGAAAAATAAACAAACCAGTGACTGTGGTGTCTCCATTTAAAATGTATTATGGCCTTATTTTTATAATTCAAACTGTTCATTTTATAGGGTTTTTTAAGCATTTTATGCCTATCAAAAAATTATGCTAATCAGATATCAACTATCATATGATCGATAACTAAAAAAATAAATAATAAGTTTTTTTATTGAGAAATAGCATAAACAATATGCAATTTGATCATATAGTTATTAATATTCGATTAATATGATTTTTGATAGACATGAAGTACTTAACAAATCCTACAAAATGAACGGTTTGGATTATAAAAATAAGGCTATAATACACCTCAAATAGAGACACTACAGTTACTGCTGTGCTACCACTTTTCCTTTTTTTTTTACCACATTTGGCTCTGATTTTTAAGTTGCAGTGAAAAACTAAAATCATTGTACTGCTATGAAAATTTCTTTAACACTCTAATACATCCTCCTAACTCAGATTACATAAACTTATCACTTGTCACTTATCAAAAAATTTTTTTTTAACACGAAAAAAGACACTCCGTGGAGATATCGTAATTTCTGTGGATCCTGGCCCTAGATAATTAGTTAGCGGTTAGATTTAACTCAATTCCATGAAAAGGACAAACCACTGGGGCAAGAGAAGAATGCACCAACTCCCAGTACAGAAGACAGTCTCGATCAGAGTACATCACAGTCAATTTACCATTTGAAAAATGGGCCGCTAGTCACGTCCCTAGAAATCATGTTTAAATATTAGATCTAAATATGAACCTCAACCATTGCTACCTACATTTTCTCACAAACTACGCTTTATTCACGTTCATGTAAATTCAATTCATCTCATAATTTGTTCATCATAATCACATTAATCACATTCATTGCCTAGAACAATTTTCTACACATTATTATAATATTCTTGAAAATTTTCAACACAATACAATGGATAAACATTGTTACCATTTTTTGAAAGTTTCGCATTCCTTCCTATATACAACAGACAGAGTACACCTCCATGACTCGTATATGATCATTGAGCTATGCTAAGCCCAACATTGGGTGAAGAGACAATGGCGAAAACAACGGGGCGTTAAAGATACTGTTCGCATTTTGATCCCATACGGCGCTCCAATTTGACGGCGTTAATGGACAACTGGCTTCACTACTAATCACCGCCGACGCGTCAGATTCCGGTAACTTCTCCTTCTTCACCGACCTTTCCTCTGTTTGTTCTTCAGCCTCTCTCTGCCTCTTCGCGCCGCCGTTCTCCTCCGTGGCAGCGGCGGAGACGGAGGCGGAGGAGCGACGCCATTTTCCTACTTCGAGAGGGAAGTTGAGAATGGCTTTGCTCCCGCGCATCTTGAATGCGGCTCGATCGTAGGCCTTGGCAGCATCAATGGCGGTGTCGAATGTCCCTAACCAAACCCTAGACCCCCGCCGCTTCGGATCTCTGATCTCCGCCGCGAACTTCCCCCACGGCCTCTGCCGGACTCCCCTGTAGTGCCTAGTAAACGGTTTCTCTACGGAAACTGCTGGCTTAGTCGGCTGCCCGAACTCCAACCACTCGAATTTCTTCACCGGAGCTAGGTCGATCTTCAACGACGGCTTGCGCTCGCTGAAACTCAACCTAGAACTGGACTGAATGTTCAAATTAACTGGTTTCGGCGTTGTAAGATCGATTATTTGAGGCTTCGACTCAAATCCAAAGAAATTTATTTGGTTTTGGTCAAAATTAATCGAGTTATGGACAAAATCAAAACATTGAGTATTGTTAACTTCGTTGGAATCCAGGTAATCAGAGATTACGATGGTAGAGTCACAGCTTGCAGTCTGTGAACAGAAGGAATAAGATTGAGAGCTTGAACCCTCAGTTTGAACACTGGTTGTAGAATCAAATGCTGTGAAAATCGAGTTGGTGTCGCGGAGGCTATTGACATCAAAGCTGTCAAGAGGAAAGAACTCGCCGACGAGGTGTTGTTCGATGAGTTCGAGAGTCGAGATTTCTACTGGTGTCGCCATTAATAAGTAATTAAGAGAGAAAAATGGATGAGTTTGTTTGAATTGAGAGGCACGCTTAATTAGGGTTGATGAGATGAGCGTGGAAGAGGAGAGTGTAAAGGTATTTATAGACGAAACGAATAATAATTAATGGCTACTCCAAAAGTGACCCCCTAACGTAAATTCTAGGATGGAAGAAAGAAGCGACCTTTTCCCAATTCAAAGGCAAAATAAACAGTGATCTCGGTCTAACC